AGCCCTTGTCAAGGGGCTCAGGGGCAGCTGCTTGGCCCCAGCAGCACGTGTGAGGGCGGGCACCCAGGAGGACAGCTGGGCGGCGGCCAGGCGCCTGTGAGCAGACACCTCTGCACCACAGCTGCGAACTTGACCCCTCTGGCCGCCTGCTCGGTGTCTCCGAGAAGCTCTGTAGCCCGGATCTGAGCTTCAGCCCGGGCTGCTTCTGGGACACCCTCCCAAAATCTCACAAGCTCTCACAGCGTGCATAGTTGGCCTCTTTTAACTCCTTCTGCCCCGCCTGCCAGTTTGGTAAAACTTTATGCAGATGTGAAATGACGTTCATAAAGAAGCACACTGATGGGCAGGGGATTTAGCTCAGTGGTGCTGCCGCCTGCCTTGCAAGCACAAGGTCCCGAGTTGGATCCCCGGTACCAAAAAAAAAAAAAAAAAAGCACACTTAAAATGTGATGTATGTTGTAAAAAAGAGTAGGTAGCAAATACCACGCAACCAAATAGAACGTAGTTATTTCCCCAGAAGTGCCCACCACATCCCCAGTCCCCTGCCTCGCTAGGGTCTCCACGTTTCGGTTTGAGGTCATCACTTGCTCCTGTGGTGCCCGGGTCTGGGGGAGCGGAGCTAGCGGGAGCCCCGCGGTGCTGTTATGGCGATGTACCACAAGGGGGCGCGCCCGACTGCCCTCTGGGACCAGATCTCCGGGATCCCGAGCTGGGCAGGGCAGGTTTGCGGGGCCTCCTCCACTATAGAACCCCGTCAAAGTGCTCTGTCTCCTGCAGAGGCCTCCTTTTACCGCAGGCAGCTGCCTTGACAACTGCAAAAAATACATGAGAGGGTGCAACCCTTGTAGCTAAAAGTGAGCAGGCCCTTATTGTGGGCTTGGCCGTAGGCTGAACACGACAGACACTTTTTCTCAGCTAGTCCTCATTCCCCTCCAAGAGGGAGGAACTATTATGCCATTTGACTCATGTGCAGGGCAGCACTGTCTCTGATACCACAGCTGGCGTGCTTACTGGCTAAACTGTTTTCATTTTACCTAGGTAGGGATTGAAATCAAGACCCTTGCACTGAGCTACATCCTTGGCCCTATTTTAAATTTTAAAAAATTTAAATGGCCAGGGCCAGGGATGTAGTTCAGTGGCACTATGCCTGCCTTGCAAGCACAAGGCTCTGAGTTTGGCTCCCAGTACCGCAAAAAAAAAAAAAAGGCCAGGCATGGAGTTGGGCCTAGTGGCACACACCTGTAATCCCAGCACTCTGGAGGCTGAGGCGGGAGGATCACTGTGAGTTTAAGGCCAGCCTGTGCTACTATTAGGAAGTGTTATCAGGAGATGAAATGTGACCTCCAAATGATATAAGAGAAATAGTATAGCTCTCAACCTGTTAGATGTCTGATACTGCAAGTTCATGTTCTCTAAAATTGAAGAATGGATTCTAGGAACACCGGAGGTTAAGAGTAGGAAATGTTGATTGAGAAGATAACTCGGGACCTTATGCTTGTGAGGCAGGCACAGTGCCACTGAGCTAAATCCCTGGCCCTGTACAGGGAAGTTTTATAGACCAAAAACCATGTGGGTACAACATGGGTTAAAGGTATAATCAGCCAATAAGGTTACGAGTACAGTTGCTTAGATAATAGTGATCCAATGGGGAATCAAGTCATGTAACAAGTATGCATGGAAAGAACACAGACTTTTTCTAGGACATTATGGGTCTGGAGGTCTTGGTCACTAACTGGGGTGACTGATGTCTATCTAGACTTCATTAGGCCAGGTGTTACTGCTTATCTTGTCCTTTGGGGAAGTATGTATGCCTGGTCATTGAGGCCTCGTCTCCAAAAGATGCATCTCCGGCCATGGGTTGTAATGTGTTATACCTCTGTCCTGACTCTCTCTCAGGCTTAGTCCTATCTGACTACCTATAATATTTCCACCTGACTTAGCTGTCTATAATACTCCATAGTCCAAGGCCCACCTGAACTACATAGCAAGACCCTGTTTCAAAAAAAACAAAACAAAAACAAGGGCCAGGGATTTAGCTCAGTGGTTCTGGTGCCTGCCTCACAAGTGCAAGGGCCAGAATTTGATCCCCAGTGCCAAAAAATAAAATAAATAAAATAAAAATGCAGGGAGTTGGGCTGCAGCCCCCTAGCTCTGGGTCTGTCCAGGTGCCAGCTCTCCCATAGTGCTGGTCTGTGAAGGAGTGTTGCTGACTGCTCAAGTGCTAAATGGGCCTGGAGACCCATTTAGTGACTTTTTAGAGACCTGCAGTGGGGTTTGGTTGGGGGACTTGTTCTGGCGATCAAGACAGAGAAGATGGGTGTCAACAAGTATACAAGTGGAAACACTTTCAGAGAGAGAAATGAAATAGTAAAAAGACTCCCCACCACCCCAGGAAATGGGGTGCAAGGAAGAAATAGTCTCCAGCCCAGCTTAAGGGCTTTAAGGGGATCATCCCTGCTTTATCAGCTCCATTTTTACAGGAGAGGAGACTAATCTGAGGCTCAGAGAGTCCAGTGTGTCACCAAGGTCATTCAGTTGGGAAGGTGCTGAAGGGGAAACCTAGAGACTCAGAAAAGTTGAGTTCTGTCCACTGGGAGGCTGTGAGCACAAGAGACCAGGTCAAGGAGGCTCTGGCCTGTATAGAGAGCTTCCTGGAAGGGGTGGCATTTTCTTGCTTTTGAAAATGCACAGAAGTCACATATTCTGAGAGCTGGAAGTGCATTGGTGTGGTTTCCTACTGCAACTTGGGGTGGTGAAGGCCCAGGCACATGGGACCCTACCAGGATTTCCTGTTCTGCCAAAGTGACCACTCCCTGGGGCTAAGTCTCTGGCACACCTCTGTGACATTGTTTGGTGGGGGCGGTTATCGGGGATTGAACTCAGGTCCTTGTGCTTGTGAGGCAAGTGCTGGAACCACTGAGCTAAATCCCAGTCCCATGACATTTTTTAAAGCCACAAGGATCTTTTATTAATGTGTGGCCTGTGGGAGCTTTAATCTGATAAAGCACCACTTACTACATTTAAACAAATATGATCCAAACACAGTAAGACAAGTCTTCAACTCTAGACCTTATGTTCTTAAGATAGAAGCCTTTAAAACAAAACAAAACAAACTCTCTTCATGTGTCACATGAAAATGGGAATACCTCCAGGCGTTGTGGCTCACACCTGTGATCCCAGCATTCGGGAGGCTGAAGCAGGAGGATCTCTGTGAGTTCAAGACCAGCCTGGGCTACATAGTGAGTTCCAGGTCAGTCTCAACTACACAGTGAGACCCTGTCTCAAAAAAAAAAAAAAAAATGAAATTGGGAACACTGCATCGATACAGTTGACACTCCTCTCACGTCTTACGCTAATTATCAACTCTTCAACCTTTTTGTTTCTTTGGTTTTTTTTGTAACAGTGTCCTGCTGTGTAGTTCAGGATCGTCATGAACTCACTAGCCTCAGGCTAGCCTCAAATTTGTGGGGATCCTCCCGCTGCAGCCGACCCAAGTGCTGGGGTTACAGGTATGCACAATCACCCCTAGCACAACTCTTTAGTCTTGAAACTAACCTTAATGGCCAGTGATATCTGTCAAATCAATCTTTCTTTCTTTCTTTTTCCATTCTTCCTATTTATTTAGAAACAGGGTCTTGCTATATAGTTCAGGCTGGCCTAGTCCTCAAAAACGAACCTCCTGCCTCAGCCTCACGAGAACTGGGATTACAGGCCTATACCACCAGGCCTGGCCAGCCACCACTTTGGTCATCTCATAATGTTAGGTGTCATAATAGTCCAGGCTGGCCTCACCTTGAACACTCTTGTCAAAGTCTTCCAAATGCTGAGGTTAGAGGTGTGCACCATCACATTCAGCAATAACATTTCTTCTTAAAAGAAGGGGCTTGAAGGAAGGGGAGGGGAATTGAAAAAACAAGAAGCAGCAAGATATATCATGTGCAGGAACAAATCCCTAAAATGATTGTTATCATTATGCATATCGAAATGTACCAATAAAAAACGACAAAAATATTCCTTTTTAAATGTATTAAAACATACTGAACAATGTATTTTGAGTTGCAAAAGAGGATTTATTTTTTGCACCTGTCTATAAATCTTTGACCACATACTAGTGCCACGACTACCTCTTTCGTAGACACAAAAACTAAAGCAGCCCGTGGAAAGCTGCGGTTGACAGGCCCAGGGTCTGGAGGCCCCTGGGCGTCTGGAGATCAGGGAAGGAAGCTCTCAGGACGGAATCGCACTAGAAACAAGGAAACAGATTCAAGGTACAAACAGCGAAATCACCCAAACCCCGACCCGCACCGCTAAAACGCGGTGCGC